CCTGAAATGATGTGGTTAAAATAGGTTGAAACCTTTTACTTTGGACACCTACTCTCAAATCCGTAGCCCAACTGGTGGCTTGCCTCAAGGCGTGGCTATTGTCAATACCTGCAGAATCTCAAGGCAACACTCCTCAGACTCTTTGAAGACAGTAGCGGGTTTCCACTATTGACTGAGTCTTCCAGGAGTAACGTTCCCACAGGGAAACATTAGACATGCTTGACGCTCATGCATGTGGAAGGTATCTTTATCTAATTTTCACCATGGATACAATTTTTTCCCTATTCTTTGACACTTTGGAATATGGAAGATTTCTGTGTCCCAGGGACCCACCTATCTCGTTCAAGTTTCAATTCGATTGCCTCCAAAGCTCAGTCTGAATCTCTTCCTTCCTTTCATGCTGTAGAACTCACATTTAGCTGAAACTGAACAGCCATGTAAACAGTGTATTCTACAGCAGCACCTCTCTCCTGAGTCCTGCTGAATCTGAGAGATTCTAGCTGCCACAGCAACAGAAGAAGCCCTCCCTTCTTCAAGACTCCAGCCAGGCAGCAAATTCAAATCTGCCTCTCCTGCCTCTTTCTTTCTTTTCTTTTTTCTTTCTTTCTTGTATTCTTTCTTAACAGAGCACCACTATGTGTAGCCCTGCCTGGTTGGCCTGGAACTTGCTATGTAGATCAGGCTGGCCTTGAGCTCACAGAGATATGTCTCTTAAGTGCTAGGATTAAAGATATGTGTCACATGCTGGATACTGTTTTTTGTTTTTGTTTTAATGAATACTTTTCCATGTTCAAGCGTTTCAAGCTCTACTTTCCATGCTTATACTGATATATATACACACACACACACACACACACACACACACACACACACACACACATATGCTGAGCATATATTGAGCATATATATTGTTGAAAATAATTTTTTATTTCTCTTATACAATACATTCCAACTACAGTTTCCCCTCCCTCCAAGCTCCCTCAACCTTTATCTTTCCAGATAAACTTCCTCTTCATCACCCTTCAGAAAAGAGCAGACCTCTGAGAAACAAAACATATATGACAAAACAAGATATGATAAGGCAAGGCAAAAGCCCTCATACCGAGGTTGGACAAGGCAATCCAACTGGGGGGGGGGGAGAGTCCCAAGAGCAGGCAAAAAGAGGCAGAGAGACACCCATTCCAACTGTTAAAAGTCCCACAAAAACACCAAGCTAACAGCCATAACATACGCAGAGGACCTAATACAGGCCCAGGCAGGCCTGTGCTTGCTGCTTTAGTCTCTGTGAACCGACATGAGACCTCCTTAGTTAATTCTGTGGGTCATGTTCTCCTATGTCCTCCATCACCTTTGACTCCTATGGTTTTTTTCTCCCCCTCTTCCACCAGGGTTCCTTGAGCTCCAAAGAAAGGGACCTTCCAATTTAGATGCTCTCTCTCTGCATAATATCTGGCTGTGGGTCTCTGCACCTGCTTCCCTCTGCTGCTGCCAGAGAAAGCTTTTCTCATGGTGACTGGACAAGGCACCAATGTATGAATATAAAAGACTCATGTCATTGATTTTTTTTTTTTTTTTTTTTTTTTGTCAGTCATGTTTGGTTCCACCCTAGGTCTCTGGGCTATCTGGTCTTCAGTTCCTGGCCATCCAGGCAGTGTTGGGAATGGGGTTCCCTCTCTTGGCATGAGCCTCAAAATAAACCTGACATTGGCCACTCCCACAACTTCTGTGCCATCATTGCCATCAGCACATCTTAGAGGCTCGGCAGATTGTCAGCTGAAGGTTTTGTGGCTGGGCTGGTGTCCAGGTTTCTCTTTCAGTAGCTTGTAGCAAATCTCCCCGCAGCAAAGAAACTAGAATGTAAGGGTAAAGGCTCCTATGCAGGCACCAGCTCGACCTATCCACATTCAATGAGCTGTGTTGTCGGCTTGTGAGGAGCAGCCTTCTGTCCTAACATTAACCACAGCACCCTGTTGGTCAACAACTCAACAAAATGCAACCCAGTCCCATCAATGGAAGCCTTGCTGGGCTCTTCGAAATGGCCAGATGAGACTGTACCCCCATTCCTAGGAATCCTCAATAGGAAGTTTCTACTGCATTAGGCTTCTACACTGCCCTTAAGATTTTCCCCAATTCCAGCTGTCTTTCCTTGCACTGTCTCCTGCCATCCCATTCCCTCCTATATCAGATTCCTCCGGATCCTGTCCCAACCAGTCCATGTCTACCCACAAAATCTATTTCCCCTTCCCAGAGAGATCCAAGTGTTCCCAATAAAACCCTCCTTCTTACCTACCATCTCTGAGTCTAGATTGTAGCTTGATTATCATTTACTTAATGGCTGGCTGATATCCAATTATAAGTGAATACATACCATATTTGAGTTTTTTTGTTTGTCTGTCTTTGATGTTGAGCTATATTTCTTAGATGCAACAGAAGGATAGGTCCTGTTTTCCCATCTATTCTATTAGTCTGTGTCTTTTTACTGGGGAATTGAGACCAACCATTGATACTGAAAGATATCAATGACCAAAACTTGTTCATTCTGTTATTTTGTTGGTGGTGGTGGTGGCAGTGGTGATAGAGGTGGTGGTGGTGATGTGTGTGCTCTGTGCTTCCCTTCTTTTGATTTTGCTGGTCTGAGTTTATTTCCTGTGTTTTCATGGGTGTAGTTAACCCCCTTAGGTTGAAGTTTTCCTTCTAGCACTTTCTATAGGTCTAGATTTGTAGGTAGATATTGTTTAAATTTGAGTTCATCATGGAATATGATTTGGTTGGAAATATTTTCTGGGCCTTTGAGCTGGGATTCTCCTCTTTCCTCTATTCCTATTATCTTTAGGTTTGATCTTTTCATAGTGTCCCAGATTTACTAGATGTTTTGTGTTAGGAATTGTTTATATTTAACATTTTTCTTCAGCTGATGTATTCATTTGTTCTGTTGCATCTTCAATGCCTCTTCCATCTCTTATATTTGTTGGTAAAGTTTGTTTCTAGAGTTCTTGCTTGAATTCCTAAATTTTTCATTTCCAGAGTTCCCTCAGTTTGTGCTTTCTTTATTGCTTCTATTTCCATTTTCTTGCCTTGAACTATTTCTTTTCTTTTCCTTCCTTCTTTTTTCCCTTTCCTTTCCTTCCTTCCTTCCTTCCTTCCTTCTTTTCTTTCTTTCTTTCTTTCTTTCTTTCTTTCTTTCTTTCTTTCTTTC